GATCAATTGGAGAAATAGAGAAAGTCTCGAAGTCCTTCTCGAAAAACTCATAATGACAGCCTACCCTAAAAATGGTCTACATAGCCAAACTTGTAGAAATCGGCCTGACAAAAAGAAAGTGCCATTTCGTGATCGACTTTCTCATTCTTCAGCAACACATTCTCCTCAACAAGCCCAGTGTGAACACCCTGTAGCTTATCCAGTTCCTTTTTTAGGTTCTCACTAGCAGACAGCGCACCTTGCATATCCACTTCCTTAGACTCAAGCTTACTGGCAACATCTTTGAGACGAGACACTTCAACATGCATGAAGACAAGCTCATCATCCTTGGCAAAGCAAGCCATTCGTAATTCCGAATTAACATGCTCAATGTCATTGACCATTGGTGAAACACGATTGAGTTCCTTCTTTGCAGCTTCCACCATTACTTGAGTCACACTAAGCTTAGCCTGCAAGTGGGTGACCTCCTGATAAGTGGTCTTCAACTGCATAGAAGTGGGGGGCAGAGACATCAGACCCTTTCAAAATGGCGACTTTAGATTCGAGCTTCTCAATCTTTTTAGCAGCCAAGCAAAGCTAAGCCATGAACGTCACTTCGATCTCTTTAGCACACTTGACAGCATCCTGATCAACATGCATTAACTCAGTTGCTAGGATCAAAGTCTTATGCATTGTAAGAATCAAGGAGAACCTCCTCGAGTAGGCAAGATGCTTCACAAAAGAGTCTAAATAGATCACGACTTTCCCAACATTGTTAACGAACTTGGTGCATGCATCAACGTCCTCAAGCAGGTCGCCTTCAGTAGCGCACAAACCTTGGGAAACTCTCTAGCCTCAGAATCAGTGGATTTCTCACAATTGCCCATATGAGCAGATTTTCCTTTCTCAGCAAAAAAACTAGTCGCAATAGAATGAGGAACAGGCCCAGGCGCCGCCTTAGCAATAGAATCCACCTTATCGCTCTTCATAGCGGCGAGCCTCTCAGAAGCCAAATCAAACTTAGCTCCCGACGGGCTTTTCAACACAAACCAGGACACCGGGGGCACCACCGAACCTTTCCGCTGGGCAATCCTCTCAGCAATGCATGTGGCCATCTTCGGAGCAACAGGTTTCACAGGCTCAACAAACTTGTTCGTCTGCTTTGGAGAAGTCAAATCGATGACAAGCTTTTCAACAGCAGACGAGCCCCCACAAACACCAAAAGAAGTCTTTGGCTTCTTCTCGGTCGAAGGCTCACAAGTAGGTAAGGAATATCTCTTCTTTCCACCTTTGTTGGTAGTAGGCTCTACAGCAGCAATTGGATGAGCAAGCGCCTCATCCTTCATTTGCTTTATCTCTTCCTTCGGAGACAGCTTGCCTTTCTCCTGACGAATAGGGTTAAGCAACCAGTGCCACTCACTGTACTGAGCAAGAATGCCTAAGGCGATGTGCACTTTCTTCATATCCGCCGAAGTTCTTAAAGTTGAACCAAATTCTGAATCTACATAAAGTAAGAAAGACGATCAGTAAACTAAAGTCATGGAGCAACTCAACAAAAATTCAAGCAGGCCAAGAATGAAGCAATTCGATGGAGTCGAGCCCGAGATGTGGTGGGGGCCCGAGCCGAGATGTGACAATTTGGTATCAGAGCCAATCCCTGGCCGGAAGTGTACCGACAAGGACGTCGGGCCCCTAAGGGGGGTGGATTGTAACATCCCACATTGCCCCAGGGGAATGGATCATGTAAGCCTTATATGTATATTCTCATCTCTACCTAACACAAGGCCTTTTGGGAGCTCACTGGCTTCGAGTTCCATCGGAACTCCAAAGTTAAACGAGTTCATGCGAAAGCAATCCCATGATGGGTGACCCACTGGGAAGTTCTCGTGTGAGTTCCCAGAAACAAAACAGTGAGGGCGTGGTCGGGGCCCAAAGCGGACAATATCATGTTACGGTGGAGTCGAGCCCAGGATGTGGTGGGGGCCCAGGCCGAGATGTGACAGCAATTCACTTACCATTAATAAAGACAGTTAGAACGCACAACTCAGGAAAGGAGTTACTCCTGATTTTCACTTACCTCCAAGGTGTCCCTCGCCCACTCATGATCACCTTTGCAGGGAGCATTGAGCAGCCTATGGCGAGATCTCAGCTGCCTCACGCCTTCCTTGTGGCTGATTTCAAAGAAGTACCATAACTCATTTATGGTTTAGCCAAGATCAAAGAACCTACTCAAGTTGAAGAACCCCACCAACACACGAATGGCATTCAGGGAGCAGTGAGTAGGCGCGCATTTCATGGAGTAGATCACCTCCAGGAAAAGCCACAACATGGGAAAAGTAAATCATAACACGAAGTAATACAGATGGAATTTGATAGCCCTCTTCCTGGCAGTGGCACCCTCGTCACATGGTTTATGGCCGCTATCATCCTTCACCCTCTTGACGCAAACCCCTGACGAAATTGCATGCTTGTATGCCTCAAGAAAATCCCGAAACAACTCGTTGGAATTGATCTTGACATGCGCAGCCTTGAAATAGCCCACCTTGCCAGAAGAACCACCTTAATGGTACAAAGGTGGAGGATATTCGTCACTTTTGCGATCGGAGGAAGACATCTTAAAGTCCCTGCAAAAGGTACGAAGGAAAGTATTTAGGAGGCAGTTCAAAACAAAACAAAAAAAAGGACCATAGAGCCCAGCGCCAAGCCCCACGGCCCAGCTCATCCACACGGCCAGGCCACAAAAGAGCCCAGCCCTCACTCTCTCTCATATACGCGGCCCACGTCGTTGAGCCCAACGCAGGAGGAGGCCATTCCCTTCCTCCTTCCTCCTTCCTCCTTCAAGCGCCCAATGCTCTAAAGCCGGCCTAGGCTTCTCTGCCCAAGCCACCAAAACCCGAGAGTCAGCCCATGTCGGTCTCTCCCACTCTCTCACCTCACGCATGCACAGGCCCGTGCCCAGCAGCCCCGAAGGCCCGGCCCATGTCGGCCTCTCCTCACCCCAGCACCCATCCACCTCGGCCCGAGCCGAATCGTCCACTTGGCCCACGCCAGCCTATTCCCGCGCCGCACGACCATGCTGCCCACTATGTATATCAGCCCCATGGCTCCCTTGCTGTGTGTCACCCACACCCTCGGTCCCCACTGAGCCAATTTTTCAAGTCCCAAGATTCCCAAAAAATTCAAGAAGAAGAAAATTCAAATTTTCTTACCTTTGGTGCGACAAGGAGAAGAAGAACAACAACGAGAGACAACTCTTTGCAAGGGTAAGAGAAGAAGAAAGCTAGGGGAGGGGGAAGAAAATTTTCTTCTTCTCTTCCTTGTTGGAATGATGATTGCTCTCCAAATTTATTTAATCCCCTGCTTAAGGCAGAATTAAATAGGTATTGGGAGCAATTGGTCTCCTTTCCTAGAAGAAGTCTATCTCCAAATCAAGAAAGGAGATCAAGTTCAAATTGGGAAACAACTTTACAAACCCAAGAAGCTTGGGATTTCTACACCTACTGCCCTTATCCTACATGCAGTTCAACACATGTGGGGGCATTTGTGGAGCCTAAAATAATCTCAAAAATTCTAGAGGCGACACGTGGACTTTTGCCCAAGAAAGACAAGATTGCCCTCAATAAATGGGCAAGCTTCTCAAATGCATCCACGCGCAACTCACATCCCTGAAGTTCCCAGCAATTGAATACGACTGCACACAGCTCACTTGCCCTTGGCAAGGAAAAGTCAAAGCATTAAACATAAGGATTAATTACCCAAATCCTATATTTAATACATGCCCAATTGAAGATTGACTGCAATCAAGTAAGTAATCCCAATTTAAATCAATTAGGAATAATTACTCCATTATCTCAAGATATTATTTCCTATTTACTATCTTGAGAATATTTTTCCATAAATCTTGGCCAATAGGATGCCGCCACGTGTAGGGTAAAGCCCTAACACTATGGCCGGCCCTATCCCCGCTATAAATACCCCAAATTCTACCAAATTTTAGAAGCTTTTGCTACCCTAAAAAAGCCCTAAACACTTTACTCTCTCATAAAAACTGACTTAGGCATTGGAGATCCATTGACCTAATCCCCCCCCCCCAAACCCGTGGGCACATGAGACTTAGGTCCTTGATCAAAGATGTTAATTGTTTTGCAGGTGCATTTTTGTCAAGACTGAAGATAGCGGAAATTTTTATCGACACAATCCATTCTTGGATGACTTGAAGAATACGAAATTTTATCTTAGTGTTCCAACACATAATACCCAATAGATGGACAGTTTTGGCAGCCACTTTGTTTTCGAGAAAGTTTCTGGTCCTGAATGTTTGGAGTTGGGTTTCGTTGTTAGAAGTGATTTCTGGACATCTGAGCAGTAAGGTTCGCGGACCAGCATGATCAGAGTTCTACAGGGTAGGCTTTGAAGTCAGATTTGATGCTATACCAAACAATACGGTGGAATGCTAGAGCTCATAATGTTATTGCTCACCTTTCTTGCATTTGATGTTTTAAGTGCTTATGATGAAACCTCAGTGATTTGAATAACTCCACAATTCTTAGCTTCTTTCACCTTATGAGCTAAAAATTACCACATTTGTTATATTATTATACTTTTTTTTCCAATAAAGAATTATTATTGTTGTTGGTGGAATGCTAGCAATCTTTTTGTTCTTGGTTACATTCTGCAATGTTGCACTATAATTTGAGTTAGCAAAATTTTCAATTCTCCTTTTTAGGCTTCGACACCTCGCATAAGGTTATTGTTCGGACATTTGTACAACACAAGCGAAAGGTCAAAACTTAAGTCTCTGTAAAATCGAAAAAATGAATAAATAACCTTCCCAAATGGGGGTAAACTAACAATTCTCAGAACCTTGTACACATTTGACGTGAAATTTCCCGAGCTATCTTGCACTAAGAAGTTGATTACTGAATTTGCTTAAAGAAGTTGATTACTGAATTAGATTAGATGTTATACTGACATGTAAACAGGGGTTTTTGTGTCAACCGATTGTGTTCTTGTAAAACTGATTTCATAAAAGTGATTTCAGATATTTCATAAAATACCAAATCGCATACAAGTGAAATCTATAAGAAACAACTACCACGCAATTAATTGGCCATTAAAACGAACAAGGTATCATAACACGAACAAAAATAATCTCTGAACTCAATCGTCAACAAGATTATCATCTTAAACACACAAATGTCTACTCATCAATATTTAATGGGGGCAATGATCTCTAGCTGAGGTCCTAGTTTCTCCTCAGCAGACTTCTCTGCTTTCACCCTCAGTTTGTTCAACTGTTTCTTCCTCTCATACGCAACTTGGGCCCTCTCCTTTCTCTTGTTCTCAAGCTCCTGCAAACATAAAAATTCATTAGTTTGACATTTGTAGGCTCATGCAAGAAAAATAAATGCATGGCCCTTCGCCTAACAAGAGAGTTTTACCAAAATCAAAAAAAAAAAAAAAAAAAAAGAAAAAAAGCCACACATGCACACATGCATGAGTTCCATGGACGTGTTGAATTTATGCTCTTGGTGATGGATGATACAAACACAGAAAGTACTAGACCTATTTTAGATAATCCACTAGACCATACAAAATAAAAACACTCTAGCTCTAACATAAAGTGTGAGACACCAAATTTTCAGTACAAGTGTTGGTGCACATGGGCATCAAAGAAGAGGGATTGCAACCGATTGAAAATAAGAACCAATATAATCAACTATATAACTAGAACTTATGCTTGTGTCCAAGGGATTGAGGCCAAGTTAGTAAAGAATGGAGAACAAAAAGTTGATAGAAAGAATTTAGAAATGCACTACATCATCGTTACAACAGTTTGTAGGATGGATTTGTAAATGACGTATTCGAAGTCGTGATTTGCGAATTCCCTTCATATGCCTTTGTAATAGTCAAGAAGGGCTTTTTGTAATCCCCCAATCTAACATTTTGTGATAATCCTAAATTGAGACTTAGAAATCCCTCACCCAATCATAACAGTATGTAAAGACCAATATAGATGATTAATAAAGACAGAAAACAAAAGGAGTGCCGTTTATTATTAATAATACAATAATACAGAACAAATGACTTTTGTCAGTAATAATACAATAATGTTAGGCGACTCCACCATTTAGACATGCAGCATGAAACATATAGCAATCATTTTCCAAATCAAGAAAACAGAAGCGCTAACAACATTGTGCATTTAAGAGGAAGAACAAACATAAGCCACGGAAACAACTCCATATGCAAACTCAATTAAGATGCAATCTGACTCAATGGGAAATAATGACCATACCACTTTGAACTAAAAGAGAAAACTAGATACTTTACCCAGACTATTATCAGCACAAGGAGACAAAACACTAGGTAAAAACAAACAAGGAAAGCAGGGGATTCTCACCTTAATGGTCTCATAGTGGTTCCATCCAACCTCTGAAGAAAGCTTGCCCAACAAACAGTACTTGTGTCCTGCTTGCAGCCTCAAGACCCTGCAGATATAAAAAAACAAAACAATAAACATTCACTTCATGAAATACAGAACAATCTATATAACAAGACAGGCATTTGGCAAATGAAAAATAGTGTCAAAAAGCTTACTTGAGCGCATCAGGAATGACCATCCTCTTAGTCTTGTCATATGGAGGTGGAATACCCTCATATGCCTTCAGACGAGCAAGTGCAGCAGCACCACGCTTAGTCTTATGGGGAATCATCCTGCAGAAAAAAGCAATAACAAAGTTACTTAACATAAAAACTCTCAAGCAGTAGAACGAAGCAAAAAGCAATAACTTGTATATATATATATATATATATATATATGTATGTATATATATATATATGTATATATGTGTGTATATATATATGTATGTATATGTATGTATGTATATGTATGTATTTAATGTGAACATTATGTTTTTGATACAATCATCTTCTGACGACCGAGATGGATATTCTATTACATATATGTAAGTATTGTAGCCAGCACCAAAAACTACACAAATCTAACACAAAAAATTCCCCTAGTGAATCAAAATTAGCCAAAAAACAGATATTCCAATACATGTAAGAAATGAGGTTCGCTTTATGGTTGTCAATGGAGAAATGTTATGTTTCATCGCTAAATTGAAGTGTTTTTTGCAAAATAGTGATTAACTAAAGTGCTCTTTCATTTTTTATAAACAAAAACTAACAAGAAGTGTTCAAAACACAAAACTTTACAGCACCTACTGAATTAAAACAATCAATTTCATCATCAACCATAAACCCAACAATAAAAACTAACAAAATCCCCAAATGGGTTTTTGATACATTCCATTGATTTACATAGACAATGTAACCTAATCAAACAAAACAATAAAAGCCCAGCAGCTCAAGCTAATAAAGCATGCATAAATCAATAAATCGGCAAAGACTAACAGAAAAATGACGACGTACCCACGGATGGTGCGCCAGAGGATCTTAGCCGGGGCGCGGAAGTGGATGGGACCATGAGAAGGCTTAGTGTTCATGCGCTTACGCAAGAACCTCATGTACTTCATCTTCTGCCTCACCAGCCCACCGGAGATACAGATCTCCTCCGCGCGAACAACCACGACCTTCTGCCCATTGAGCAGCTCCTTGGCCAGGATCGAAGACAGGCGGCCGAGCATGTGGTGGCGGGCGTCCACCACAACGCGCTTAGCGCAGATACCTGAGCCAGACACCATTGTTCCCTCTCTGTGCAACCCTAATGCGGCTCCGAAGTGAGAAATAGGTGCGGAAGGGTTAGGGTTTTGGGTCGAGTGTGGTTTATAAGGGATGGTTATATAGGATGCGGGTTTGGATTGGCTGTTGGTGGGTGTACGTTTGCATATGGTGGGGAAGGAGAGGATTATTAATTTATTAGTTGTTGGGCCATCTGGGCTAGGGTGGCCACAAGGCCCAGGCAAAATCATTTCCCGTTCAACAAATAGACGAATTAATGTGTTTCGAGAATGCTTGGAAATATTACAACATGTTGATTGGTTGTTATATTTTCAGAATTCTCGAGGAACGTGAGGTTGTCATTCCTAGAATCGAGGATTTGGGACGAACCAAATACAACATCAAAGAGTGCTCTGCTAGACCAACATTATTATTCTATTTCTCCACTCACATTATAATCTCATTCATCATAAAAAGAGAAATTAAAATGTTGTTATAAGTCTATTTGACTGAACTATTCTAAGTGAATAGAGACAGGGAGGCTGGCAGTAATAAGAGAGAAAAGAGAGATTTAATTGTGAGGTGCATGTTGTATCACTCTATTATGCATTTATTTATAGTAGTAGGATAGGTAAAATTCTTACCATTTTAGAATTACAACTCTAATAGGATATTAATTACTAAAAGGAATATTCAAATATATCCCTAGATACACTAGGATTTACACAATCACATTCCTATTCTACATACGCCTGCAACACTCCTCCTTGAGTATGTAAATACTCAAACAAAATATCGCACTAGATCTTCAGCAGATAAGGTAGAACAGTGGATGAAGTCAGCGACAACAGGTGAATTGGAGTCTCAAATTTAAAGAAAGTATGCATTAGTAGTAAAACTCACAAAATCTCTCTATGGTAAATCATAAGGCAGGTGATAACCCATAGACTAAGGAGAAAAGTGAGAAGCATGCATAATGTTTAAAACAAAAGTCAAACAGGACAAACATAGTGAACTCAACGAAGTATGATTGTAATACCCTGAAAATTTAAATATATGAAATAGAATATTCATAATTATTGTGACGACCCGTCACTAATTTTCCTATGTAATTTCTCCCCGAGTATGTGTATTGACTATTATGCCCTTATTGGCAAGTGACGTGGACGTATTCATATTGCTTTTATTTTATTTCTCACTATCGCATTTAAATTGTACACGTTGTTACGAGTGTACGTAAATTTTTATCAGTGTGAAAACACTATTTCGGATAGATTTTCGATACCCTTTTCGGTACAAAATCTAAACTCTATCCCTAGCCTTCTATTTAGGCCATCATGTGCACTCCACCAATCCCATCCACTCCCTCTTTGCAACAACCAATCAGAAAAAGCACAAGAAAATAATTCTCTCTCTTGCTTTCTCTTTCTCTCTCTCTCCCGTATACTATCTTTCTCTGCAAAACCCTCAAACGAGCTTCAAAGCTCACAAATCGAACCCAAAAACCACTCCATTGTACTTACCTCAATCCCACGATCACAACCATGTTCTTCAAACCCGGAATGGACAAGTTTTCAACGTCGAACTCGTGAGGTCCCAACTCAATGATCTGAGTTCATCAAATTTTAGGCTGGGTTAAGGAGTTTTGAAGTTAAAGGAAGCCTTCCCACAACTCCCCGAGGCCCTTAGGACATTTTTTAAGAAGCTTGGACGTCGAAACAACCGAGTTTCGAGGAGCTCGCTTTTGGTCAGAACTTTCGAGGCGTTTTCCAGCGACCTCCATCCACTTTTTGGACTCCAAATAGGTATAACGCGATTCTACACTTCACTAGCTTCAAATCCATATAAAGTACGTCAAAAATGGTTGAGAAATGAAAGAGAATAGTGACTTTGAAAATTTTCCAGAAAATTAGCGAAAAATCAAGTTGCAGACCGCTGCGGACGACGACGACGATAAGGACAAACGGAGAAAGAGACAAAATATTCCATCAGAGTTGACTGAATATTCCTGATGGCTTCAGGTAACGCCATTAGCTTCTGTTAGCATTTAACGGAATATTCCGTGGAATATTCCTGACGGCGTCAGGCTAGCTGACGGCACTGGCCTGCGCGTTTGGCCGTACCATTGCCAGTGCGTGGGGGCGCTTGAGCTGACCAAAAATTATTTTAAAAATTTGGGGATGTTCGTGACGTCAAGTAGGTCACGATAGTGTATTTAAACCCTAGGTTTGAGCAAAATATGGGGGTTTTATTTAGATTTACGTGTATGTGCTTTAATTAATTCGAAATTAGTTATTTCACATATAGGGGAAACGTATCCCGATGACGTTCGAGGCCAAGCTAGGCTCGGGAGCTACGAACCAGCAACTTACTTGTGAGTGGGCAGTTTATTTTTATATCTATACGTATTTATAGTTTCCAGAATTGGATAAATACATCACTTTACATATATATTTCCAAATAGTTAATAACTGCTATATAATTGTGATAAATGATGCTATATGGTTGATATATTACTGTCATGACATTCATACATATCAATGTTAGTACTCGCCCCAGGGCTAGGGCCAGTCCTTCACATGTATGTTCACCTCACACCATTCGCTTTCCTTGGATCCAAGTTAGGTGCAAGTCATGTCGGGTAGATTGCATTGGGCAATCCGGCTTGTATGTGACCGTGCTTCTGCACTAGCCTTCACGTGATCGTAGTACTAAAGCATATTAATTACACCCAGTCATGTTCGTGTCAAAAATTATATGTTCGAACTCGTGTGTCAACTTAGATGGATGAGCTCTTAGCTATACTTGATTATCACATGATTATATTATTGTGGCATTTGATACATCATGACTTGCCATATTTCTGGTTATAATACTATTATAATGTTGTTGTATTATTGGTTACATGAGTACATTGTATGTTTTAAGGAACTATACTTGTTTTACGGCGAGGGGTTTGTATATTCAAAATAAAGGATTTCGTTTAAGCATTGTTTTGCTAACCCATTCAACTTTGTTTTTCGCCCCTTTAGAGCCTGGATAGCTATACTTTTTGTGGCACTCGAGGAATCTCTGCAGTTCTGACATTCCCTTATGTTTAGACGTACGAACTTATCACTGTGGTGTAATAAGTGTACTTTGATTACTTTTATGTAGTCTCACTATCTGTTACACTTTGAATAATTGTAGTGGGTTCATCCCACGATTGCGCACTCTTTCACTGTTTAGTATAATTAGTTCTAATTGGTTTTAAATGTATTCACTTTTTACATCACTTACCTTTATGGTTACGTCACCTCACGGTGATAGCCAGCATGCTTCAACCTTCCCAAGTCAGGGTGTGTCAACTTGGCATCAAAGCATGGGTTTAGACAGTCCTGCACTTCCTAGTGTGTTTTAACTTTTGTTTTCTTATGTCAAAACCATGCCACCTGGTAGAGAGCCACGTTCTCCAGCTGAGAATAACTTTCAAAACTTGGACAGTTTGGTGAGGCTATTGCCAATGCTATTCAATCTTCACTTTGTCCTGCCCCAAGGAATACTCTGGATATTGTATCTCGCCTAAAGATTAATGATTTCTTTGGTAATGAAGGATCAGAAAAGGCAGAGATATGCATAGGCAGGGTAATCTTCTCTAGAGAGATGGGTCGAAACAGCGACCTGGCTTTTTCGATTGGGAGCAGAATCTTGGTGGGATCAGGAGAAAAAATCATTATCTGATTAGGATGCTATAAATTGGGATGTTTTCAAGCAAATATTTCAGACTAGATTTGTTCCTCTGAAGTATTTGGATCGTAAGAATGATGAGTTTTCAGATCTGATGCAAGGTAAGATGTCAGCTTCTGAGTATCATCGAAAGTTCACAGACTTATCTCGTTATTTCCCCGAGATTGCTACTAATCCCCGGGAGATGCTTCGTTTGTTTAAGAGAGGAACTTGCAAGAAATGACGTTATATGGCAAACACTACTCCATGTGCTACGTATCAGGAATTCTTCGAGGTCTGGCTTCGGGTTGAAGATTCGAAGAATGCTCCTAACGATGAGGATGTGGATGTTGGCAGGAATGCCCAGAGTTACAGTAATAGGGGGCAATCGTCACTTGGTCCGAGAAGGGCTTAGAATTTTAAAATGAGTGGAAACAGCTCTGGATCGTCGAGTGGGGGTTCTAACTCTAGTACACCTCAGAGAGAAGGCAGATCTGCTGGTGGTTCTCGTTTTCAGAATCAAGGAAAATCTAGCATTCAGGTGTTCAGTTTTGTTGCAGGTGTAACATGTCACTATGACGAGTGTAAGAGAAGAAACATATGATGTTTCAGTTGCGGACAGACAGGGCATATGGCCTATAATTGTCCTCAAAATCAGAAGAATTAGCCTGCTAATCTACCATCTGCAGTCCCCTTACAGCAGTTTCCAGCACCTGGTAATTGCCAGTAGATAGGCCACAGTGGAGCTTTCCACTACCAATGGGACGTAGCCCAGTATCAGGGAGGACCATACCAGTAAACACCTGAGGTTCCCTACTATCAGGGAGGCTATCAGCAGATTTAGGGAGGCTATCAGCAGACTCAAGGAGGTTATCCATAGTTTCATGAAGACTATATGCCGTATCAGGGTGGTGGAGCACATATGTATACTGAAGGACAACATCATAATCTAGACGTAGTAACTAGCAGTGGAGGTTCAGGCAGATAGGCAAATCAACCTTATCAAGGCCAAGGTAATCAGGGTCGAGGTAATCAGACTCAAGCAAACAGGGGCCATGGAGGTAGGCAATAAGTTCAGGGAAGAGTTAACAACACCACCCTACAAGATGCTCAGGCTAATCCGGACTTGATCATGGGTACATTGAATGTTCTAGACCATTTTGCTAAAGTTTTAATTGATTCTGGTGCTACACATTCAGTTATTTCCCATAAGTTTGCTCAAACGACTAAACCACATCCTACTTCACTCGACTACGAGTTGGAATTCTCGATGCCAAGGGGTGAAATCTATTATGTTAGTTGGGAATATCAAGGATGTCCCATCCTTGTCAAAGATGTAGTCATGTCGGCTAATCTTGTTCCTTTGGATATCATTGATTTTGACGTTATTGAAGGAAAAAATTTGTCCTAGCTAAGAACAAGTATGAACATTTGAATACACATGCAAGCTATTAACACTTTAAAGTAGGCATGCATCCAAAAACAATTCATAAAACCCATGACTTTCAAAGCCTAGTATATGGTGAACCAAAATAAACTCTTTAACAACATTAAAGAGAAGTAAAGATTTAGTGATTCTTTACCCTTGAAGCTCATCCTTGATTACACAAGGGATTCACCCAAGTGGAGGGCCTTCAAGTCACCTCCAAGCTCCTTGAATCTTCCTTGTGTTTTCCTCCCTTTAGTGCTCCTTTGATTATTTGAGGAAAAAGGATTTGTTCTCCAAAACACCAAAAGCTTGATGTCTCTAAGTCTCTTCACCAAGGTTGTATCTTGTGAAGATGAATTGGATGACTAAGGGAAGAAGAGATTGCTAGATGTCCATCCCCTTAGTGGCCGGCCTCCTTAGAAGAAAATGGAGAAAATGTTTCACCCAATTTCAACAAGAAAAAAACCCTAATTAGAAAAATAGCTATAAAGTTGCTTTTTATAACCTTTTCTTTGGTGAGTGGCAAACTTGTAATAAAGCAAACTTTGCCCATTCACCCTAATGGCCGGCCATCCTTTGTTATTGGGCTAATTTTGCCCATTTTTGTTTTAGTTGTCATACAACTTAAACATAATGGGCCTTGTGGACCAAAACGCTTTTGGGCCCCGAAACCCAAAACCAACATATAAGCCCAATACGAACATTTCGTATAATTAATTAACTAATTAATTAATCTTTGACCATTCTTCAATTAAACCATTTAATTGCTTATCCATTTCATTTGATTTCTTCACATACATCCTTACTCGGTGTACGATCCATTAGGTTCCAATTAGCGAGGCAGTGGGCGATGTTACTCTTAACTATCGATTTGTGAATTGAAACCACATTTCAATTCTCCCTTTAATGATTAGTGTTACCTAATCATTTGGGCTTCCACAAACCATGAGTGACACCTAGCAGTATGTCATGGTTACCCAAGCTAAGTAGAATTGGTTGGAGAACCTATCCAGTTACAACTACAATGCAATACGGTCCTTCTCTAATACAATACTCTTAATCACATTGTTTACGTGATAGTTTGTTTCATGTCTACTATCCAATGTGATACTTTCCTATATGATTCCCATGAATATGATTTGGAACAAACTTCCTAAGTCATATTCATTTACTTTGGCCAAAGACTTTAGAATCATATCTTAGAGTATTCTCCCTCCACCAAGGAAGGTTAGAGATCCCTTGTTGTGCATTCATATGCCTACATGACTAGATAGCTTGACCCCAACAATGTCGTGAACACTCCAAAGGAATGCCGTTGACAGGATCAAAGATCAAGGACCTAACCATTAGACATCGATGATGCCTCAGGTCAAAGGACTACTTTGCATATTGTAACTTTAGAGTTCATACATGACATGTATGTTCGAACTCTCTTTTGATCATAGTTCAGTTTACTCGATTACTCTTTCGAGCACCTATGTGTTTGTCTTAGTGTCCAACACCAAATGACTTGAGACTAGTCATACTCACGCTTGAGTCAACACAACACATACTAACCTTAGCGGATTGTCAATGCCCAATTGGCAATCCTATGGCTAGGAACGTTTTAGGAATGAACATAAGAGAAAGGTCTCGATAATCTAACTCACTGATCGGATCATATTTATATATATTTTTACTTCAAATTCACTCGTCTTTTCTTAGTTAGTTCCTTATATTTTTGAGCTATTTACGTTATTTTTGTGTTTATAAGATCTGTTATGCAAAGAAAACAAAAATAGCACAAATAAGATCTATTTACGTTATTTTCATGGTTAGTGTTGGTTTCTCTCACAGTTCCAATTTTCTAATTACCAGTTTTGTATATTCAAAATATTTATACCGATTATTATCTTCTTTCAGGGTGCCCCAGCAACAATGCTAAAGGATATGGAGATGCTTTTGTTAAAAAAATGCTCAAAAGGAACAAAGTAAACGTGCAAATGGCAGTGTGGTTGGTGAAGCAATTGAAAAACAAAAAGAATCTGCTTTGGTGGGTTGGTGAAACAAATAGAAAACAAAAAGAAAACAGCACCAAGGAGGTCAGAAAACAAGGAGAATAAATTTGAGCTGCATTTGGCAGCAGAGAAGGGGGAAGCGGGAGAGAGGGCTGCCTTTGGGCAGCTCGCAGAGACGCAAGGAAGGAGAGGCAGCACCAGGAGGAATTCAGCTGCTTGGGCAGCATGAAAAGGGAAGTCAAAGGAGGCTTGAAGCGTGACACGGGGAGCATAGGGGAGAGAGCTGCCCTTGGCAGCTGGTAGTGAGTACAGGCGCAGGAAATGAGGGAGAGACCAGCAGAAAAAGGAGGAAAAGTTGCGGCTGGCAGCTTGAAGAAGAAGGGAAGGCTGCACCTTGCAGCGTGTCAAGTGTAGAACAGAGAACAAACAGCTGCCTTGGCAACTTTGTTGAGAGCAGAACCCGCGCAGCACCGAGGTGGACAGAAGCTGCAAGCCTCTTCTCTCTCGGTTAAATCTTTCCCACTTATATTTTACTTTTGGTTTATTTGTGTTTTAATAATGTGTAACTAATTTTAGTTTGGCTAGAGGTTAATTCAAAGCCATGAATATATTTGTAATATGAATTGATTACCTTCAGTTGTGATTTCTGAGTTGTGATTTAATTTGCTTAACTGTTTGATTGATAACTTATTTTTGTATGTCGATTAAGGATGCATACTTAATTTACATGCATGAATTTGATGCTAGAATATAAGTGAATTTCACCTAATCGTTATGAACTTATATTCACAAGTAGTGAAGGTTGTTATCCACAATCGCGTTAAGTGAATTCTTGGCATAAGTTTCATGCAAATCATAGTAACGAGTGCCTCGTCAATGCTTATGTTATTCATAGAACTTAATGATTCTTGCTTGTATCTCTATTATGCAATTCATGTAGGGAACTTGTAAGGAATGTTTTGGGTTGTCGTATGCAATCATCCAACCCAATAACTTGTGGAAAAACTGAGGGTTAATTAGTGCAATTCACGGTTAATTTGGGGCGTTGAGTATTCATAGTTTATTGAAAGAACAACTGAAAATCAATTTAGGTTGCATATGTGTCATGTGTGGAGAAGAACCCTCTAGCTAGTCCGTCATTTATCATTTCATCTTAATTTCATGTTTTTGTCAATTCTGTAATTTAATTAAGTTTAATTTACTTTTCATCAAAACCAAACACCCATCCATTATTAAATTATATTATTTAGTTAGTTTTCTTTATTGTTAGTCTTTTAATTTAATTTCCGTCCATTTCAGTTCCTAGTGTTTAATTTAATTGTTTTCATTATTTTGAGTCATTTTAAGTGTGTTTCGAGTTATTAGAGTTTTTCGCCTAGTTTTGTGTCCTTGAGTCTTATTTAATATTTTTAAATTAATTTAGAATAGATTAGCAATCCCTCCTAATCCCCGGCCTAGAACGATACCCTACTTACAACTATACTACAACTGTCAAAAAGAGGGTTTAATTTGTGTGTTAACTTATTTCACGCATCACTCACTTAGATCACTTATCTCTTAGAACAAATACATTCCTTGGATTCTCTTATTGCTTAAACACATGATACAATAAATAGTGATTAACAATAAGATTTGCCCTTCATTAAACATATAAAAGTTTAATACATTAAGTATTCCAAAAAGCTATTACATCAAATGAGTGGCTTTGTGGGCATACTTCCAACAGTTATCTTAGGCATGGATTGGTTACACTACAATCGTGTCAGGTTGGATTGTTATGAGAAGGTTGTTACTTTTCACCGACCGGGGATGCCTACTGTCATGTTTATTGGTGAACGTGGTGGTCTAAACACGAAGTTATCACTGCCATGAGGACGAGACGACTGTTTAGTAAAGGTTGGCAACACTACTTAGCTCATGTTGTGCTATTGGAAGAGACTACTGCCTCTATGGAGGACATCAGAGTAGTTAGGCACTTTCCTGATGTTTTTCTCAAGGAATTACCTGGCTTACCCCCAGATCGTGAAGTGGAGTTCACCATCGATCTACTTCCAGGTACTACTCATATTTCCCTTACACATTACCGTATGGCTTATGCAGAGTTAAGGGAACTTAAAACTCAGTTGCAAGAGTTGGTTAATAAGGGTTTCAGCTAAGCACTTCCCCGTGGGGAGCTCCAGTTCTGTTTGTAAGGAAGAAAGATGGAACTTTGAGGTTATGCATTGACTATAGACAGTTGAATCAGGTGACGATTAAAAACCATTATCCGTTACCTCGTATTGATGATCTCTTTGACCAGCTTAAAGGTGCTTGTGTGTTCTCGAAGATTGAACTAAGATCGGGTTACTACTAATTGAAAATCAGAAGCGACGACGTTCCGAAGACAGCTTTCAGAACTCGATATGGTCATTACAAGTTTCTTGTGATGCCATTTGGATTGACTAATGCACCAGCAGCTTTCATGAACCTGATGAATCGAGTATTGCATCCATACCTCGATAGGTTCATCATTGTTTTCATTGATGACATTTTGGTGTATTTGAGGAATGAAATCAATCATGCCAAGCATCTGAGTTTGGTTCTAAAGACGCTAAGGGTAAATCAGTTGTATGCTAAGTTCAGCAAATGTTTGGCTGGATCAAGTGTCATTCTTAGGGCACATGGTATCAGCTTAGGGTGTGCTTGTGGATCCTCAAAAAGTAGCAGCCATGGACAATTGGGAACAACCTCAAACAGTTACGAAAATTCAAAGCTTTCTTGGTCTTGCTGGCTATTATCGACGCTTCATGAAGGACTTTTCAACCATAGCACTACCTCTGACAAAATTGACTAGAAAATATGTTCCTTTTGTGTGGATTAATGAGTGTGAACATAGTTTCTAGAAGTTGAAGTTCCTTCTCACTCATGCACCTGTCTTAGCACTTCTCGATGATGGTGGAAACTTTGAGATCTACAGTGATGCATCTTTAAATGGTATTGGATGTGTGTCAATGTAGCATGATAAGGCGATTGCTTATGCATCTCAGCAATTAAAGCCCCATGAGGGGAACTATCCTACTCATGATCTCGAGTTGACAGTGATCATCTTTGTTTTGAAAATTTGGAGGCACTATCTTTATGGGGAAAAGTGTAAGATCTTCATTGATCTTAAGAGCCTTAAGTATATCTTCACTCAGCCAGATCTTAATCTCCAGCAACGAAGGTGGGTAGAGTTGCTCAGTGATTATGACTGCACCATTGAGTATCACGCAGGTCATGCCAATTCGGTAGCTGATACTCTTAGTAGGAAGTCTCATGGCCAACTTAATGCTCTCTATGCTAGTCGCATTCCTTTTTTGACTGATCTAAGATCCATTGGAGTAGCATTGAAAGCGGGTCCACGGGGGGCTCTAATTGCCAATTTTCAAGTCAGACCGGTTCTGTTAGATCGTGTTCTCAAAGCCCAGAGGAACAATACAGAATCTCAGGAATTGATACAGACAATGTCAGACGGGATAAAGAAAGACCTCTGCATTAAAGATTTTGACGACATGCTTATGCAAGGTGAGCGGATGTATGTACCGAATGTTGAGGAACTAAAGAGAGACATATTGGATGAAGCGCATATTTCTGCTTATGCGATGCATCCAAGGAGTACCAAGATGTATCATACCATCTGACACTTCTAATATTGGCAATTTGCCAACAGGTTAAGGCAAAAAGGAAAAAGCCATTTGGATTGCTACAACCACTCCCGATGCCTCAGTGGAAATGGGAAGATATTACGATGGATTTTGTGTACAAATTACCTCGTACACAAAATGGTTATGATGGTATCTGGGTGATAATTGATCGGCTTACCAAGTTAGCACATTTCATACCCGTTCGTGAGAATTAGTCGTTAAGTCAGTTGGCCGAATGGTTCATCTCTGAAGTGGTTAAGTACCACGGGGTTCCAGTTAGTATTATTTTGTGACCGGGATCCCTGATTTACTTTGAAGTTCTAGGTAGCTTTTCAGGAAGCTTTAGGATCGAGATTACTCCACAGCACCGCCTGTCATCCTCAAGCAGATGGGCAGTCAAAGAGAACTATCCAGACATTGGAAGATATGTTGAGATCGTCAGTTTTACAGTTTGGAGACGCTTGACACAAGTGCTTACCTTTGATAGAGTTCACGTACAACATCAGCTTCCATTCTAGTATTGGTATGGCATCGTTTGAAGCATTGTGTGGGAAACCATGTCGTACTCCACTATGTTGGTCTGAAGTTGGTGAACGAGTTTTGGTGGGCCCTGAGATCATGGATGAAACAACACAGAACATTCAGGTGATAAAGGCTAACCTGAAAGCGACCCAGGATTAGCAGAAGAGTATTGCAGACAGACATTCTACTGACAGACTTTATAAGGTTGGTGATTGGGTATTCTTGAAGTTATCGTTGTGGAAATGTGTTGTGCGATTCGGCAAGAAAGGGAAACTTAGCCCTAGGTACATTGGACCGTACCAGATCGTTGAACGAGTTGGTGAAGTTACTTATTGACTTGCTTTGCCACCAGAATTGGCGAGAGTGTACAATGTGTTTCCCGTATCGATGCTACGAAGGTACGTCTCTGATCCGTCACATGTGATTCCTCCTCAACTGCTAGAGATCAATCCAGATTTGACCTATGATAAGGTTTTAGTAACTATCCTTGATTGGAAGGATAAGGTTCTTAGGACCAAGATTGTACAGATGGTGAAAGTTTTGTGGAAAAACCACTCAGTTGAGGAAGCTACATGGGAGATAGAAAAGTGTATGCGAGATATGTATCCACGTCTATTTTATAGATTTGAATTGTAGTCAATATTGAAATTTCGAGGACGAAATTTTTATAAGGGGGTAGATTGTGACAACCTGTCCCTAATTTCGTATGTAATTTATCCCTGAGTATGTGTATTGACTATTATGCCCTTATTGGCAAGTGACGTGGACGTATTAATATTGCTTTTATTCTATTTCTCGCTATCGCAATTAAATTGTACACGTTGTTACGAGTGTACGTAAATTTTTATCAATGTGAAAACACTATTTCGGATAGATTTTCGATACCTTTTTCAGTACAAAATCTAAACTCTATCCCTAGCCTTCTATTTAGGCCATCCCATGCACTCCACCAATCCCATCCACTCCCTCTTTGCAGCAACCAATTAGAAAAAGCAAAAGAAAATAATTCTCTTTCTCTCTCTCCCTCTCTCTCTCTCCCGTATACTCTCTTTCTTTGCAAACCCCTCAAACGAGCTTCAAAGCTCACATATCAAACCCAAAACCACTCCATTGTACTCACCTCAGTCCCACTATCACAACCATGTTCTTGAAACCCGGAATGGACAAGTTTTCAACATCGAACTCGTGAGGTTCAAACTCATTGGTCTGAGTTCATCAGATTTCAAGCTGAGTTAAGGAGTTTTGATGGTAGAGAAAGGCTTCCCACAACTCCCCGAGGCTCCTAGGACATTTTTTAAGAAGCTTGGACGTCGAAACAACCGAGTTTCGAGGAGCTCACTTTTGGCCAGAACTTTCGAGGCGTTTTCCAGCGACTTTCGTCCACTTTTTGGACTCCAAATAGGTATAACGCGATTCTACACTTCACTAGCTTCAAATCCATATAAAGTACGTCAAAAATGGTTAAGAAATGAAAGAGAATAGTGAGTTTGAAAAATTTCTAGAAAATTGGCGAAAAATCAAGTTGCAGACGACGGCGAGGACAACCGAAGAAGGAGACAGAATATTCCGTCAAAGTTGATGGAATATTTTTGATGGCGTTAGGTAACGCCGTTAGCTTTTGTTAGCATTTAACGGAATATTCCCTGGAATATTCCTGACAGCGTCAGGCTAGCTGACAGCACTGGCCTGCGCGTGGGGGCGCGTCTGGCTATGCCATTGTCGACGCGTGGGGGCGCGTGAGCTATCCAAAAATTATTTTATAATTTTGGGGATGTTCGTGACGTTGAGTAGGTCACGATGGTATATTTAAACCCTAGGTTTGAATAAACTATGGGGGTTTTATTTAGATTTACGTATATGTGCTTTAATTAATTCAAAATTAGTTATTTCACATTAGGGGAAACGTATCCCGAGGACGTTCGAGGCCAAGCTAGGCTCGGGGCTACGAACCAGCGACGTACTTGTGAGTGGGTAGTTTATTTTTATATCTATATGTATTTATAGTTTCCAAAATTGGATAAATACATCACTTTACGTATCTATTTCCAAACAGTTGATAATTGCTATATAATTGTGATAAATGCTGCTATATGGTTGAGATATTACTGTCATGACATTCATACATATTTGTACATGCTCATCTTGCTGTGCCGGTGTTAATACTCACCCCAGGGCCAGGGCCAGTCCTTCACGTGTATGTTCACATTGCACCATTCGCTCTCCTTGGTTCCAAGTTAAGTGCCAGTCATGTCGGGTAGATTGCATTAGGCAATCTGATTTGTATGTGACTGTGCTTTTGCACCAGCCTTCACGTGATCGTAGTACTATAACATATTGATTACACCTAGTCCTGTTCGTGTCAGAAATTATCTATTCGAACTTGTGTGTCAGCTTAGATGGATGAGCTCTTAGCTATACTTGATTATCACATGATTATCACATGATTATATTATTGTGGCATTTGATACATCATGACTTGTCATATTTCTAGTTATAATACTATTATAATGCTGTTGTATTATTGTTTACATACGTACATTGTATGTTTTAAGGAATTATACTTGTTTTACGGCGAGGGGTTAGTATATTTGAAAATAAAGGATTTTGTTTAAGCATTGTTTTGCTAACTCACTCAACTTAGTTCTAATTAGTTTTAAATTTATTCACTTTTTACATCACTTACCTTTATGGTTACGTCACCTCACGGTGATGGCCAGCATGCTTCGACCTTCCCAGGTCGAGGTGTGTCAGCTTGTCACATCCCAGCCCGAGCCCCCACCATATCCTGGGCTCGACTCCGCCGTAGCACGATATTGTCCGTTTTGGGCCCCGACCACACCCTCACGATTTTGTTTATGGGAACTCACACGAGAACTTCCCAGTGGGTCACCCATTGCTCTCGCGTGAACACACTTAACATCAGAGTTCCGATGGAACTCGAAGCCAGTGAGCTCTCAAAAGGCCTCGTGCTAGGTAAAGATGGGAATATACATATAAGGCTTATAGGATCCACTCCCCTAGGCAATGTGGGATGTTACAATTCACCCCCGTTAGGGGCCCGACGTCCTTGTCGACACACTTCAGGGCCCTGACCACACCCTCATGGTTTTGTTTCTGGGAACTCACACGAGAACTTCCTAGTGGGTCACCCATCCTGGGATTGCTCTTGCACGAACTCACTTAACTTCGGAGTTCTGATGGAACCCTAAGCCAGTGAGCTCTCAAAAGGCCTCGTGCTAGGTAAAGATGAGAATATACATTTATGGTTATGGAAATTTAATTGAGGAATTTTAAAATTTTGTTACCGGAAATTATTATAATTTGTATTAGTATTATTGAGATTTTATATATTTTTCAAGAATTTATATTAATTTAGTGAATTGAGTTTTTGTCACAGCCCGTTCCAGAATTTCATTTCCGAGGACGTGAAGTTACGAAATTACCCTTGGTCGTCAAGTGGGGTTGTGTGTATGTGTGACTTAATTAAGTTGATTTTTGGATGATTTTACTAAAGTTGGACCTAAAGTGAACTAGAGACTTAAAGAAAGTTGGGTTCTGGTTTGATTTGGATGGATCACATACGGGACACGTACACACCCACACAAACCACCATCTTCTCTCTCCTTCCCCGCACCCTCTCTCTCTTCTCTCTCAGGTTTTCTCTCTCTCTGCAACTCGTACGGACAACACCCATTGACCTTCAAATATTTACAGATCGAGGAAACAAAGACCACTATCGTCTTCATCTCGTTGATACAAGTTCATCCATACCCATTTCAGGTAAGAACTTCAACGTTTTCACGTCGAAATCACAAGCATTGAGTTTGACACTATTCATCAACTTTGTATTGGTTGATTTTTAGGAGTTTTCAAGCTTGTAGGAAGCTTCGTGAGGTCCTTAGGAGGCTTGGGGTAGTTCGTTGGAGGTTTTTGGACGTAAGAATATCGAGATCGAAAAGTTCAAGTTTGATCCGTGCCTTTCGAGGTGTTTTCCGGCCAAACCACGGAGAGTTAGATGTCATACAAGGTACCATTTTCTTCGTCTCTTCGAGAACTACAACTTTTGTTTTTGTTTCACCCAATTTCGTTGAGTATTAAAGAAGTTATACTCATTTGAAACTTACCCAGTTTCCGGCGAGTCCGACGGCTTTCGAGGCTTTTTCCGGTGAATCCCCGGCGAGTTGGGGGTCGAGGTAGGTATGGATGTGTTCATCTCGTCAAGATCTTCATTTTGATATAAAGAACGTTGAAAATGGTGAAGAAATGACAAAGTTATAGCGATTTGAAAAACTGCCCAGAAACCGGCAAACCAAGGTAGGAGACGCGCGTGGGGGCGCGTGAACCCGTGCCCTTCTTGGCGCGTGGGGGCGCGTGACAAGCCCAAAAATTATTTTAAAAATTTTTCGACGTCCGTGACGTCGAGTAGGTCATTGTGGTATATTCATATATCCAAATTGAGCACCGTATGAGAAGTT